CTCCTCCTTCTTCTTCTTCGGGATATTAGAATTAGTTTGAGAAAAAAACTCAATCCTGATTTATTAAGGATTATTCCCACGGTTATAGATAATACTATACACAAAATGACAATCATACCCTTTTAAATTAGGTTAATAAAGTTTTATTCGATCTATTTATTAAATAAAGTATGTGACCTGTATTACTCCTCGCCTTCTTGTAATTAGTTTGCTTCTTGCATGATCCCTCCCTCTCTTTATACGTCACTATATAACAAATGACTTTTATCCAAAAAAATCATCACGAATTTTTTTTATCGGTGATTAACGACAGATCACCCTGAAAATACCAGTGGTTTTAGTAGAATCCAATGTTTTTTCAAGAAAATACAAACGGATCACCAAGAAAATACGTGCGTAATCTGTCATTGATTTGAGTTTCCCACCAACAATTTAACCACCACTTTTTGTGACGAGTTTTTGACGAATCACCCCTTTAACAATGGATTTCCTAGAGAAAGATCCGTAGGTAAAAGTCTTCCATTTAGTAGTGGTTTGTGTGTGTGTGTGTATACATATATATATATATATATATGGTTGAGTTCTGGTGAGAAGAAAGTTATGTTGAAAAGCGTGAGAAGAGATTTCCATCATTGGATCAATCCTAATTGAAGGTTAATACTAATGAGGTGCACTGAGATGCACCAAATCAAATCCTTTCTAAAACCCAATTCATAGATGGACATGAAATTAAAAGTGATCAAGAGTTCATATATTTTCTTACACTTCTCATCGTAACTTTCCTTTCATACGATCATTCACCTATATATATGTGTGTGGAGGTTCAAACGAGAACACCTCCATTTTACGAGAATGAACACCCTTATCACATGTGATAATACGCGTGAGGGGACCTATGATGTGTGGACGACGTGTTCTACGACTTAGGCTACGTCAAAGGTTGTCTGCGTGTATGATTTAGCATCACATGTGATGGTCTTAATGGATTATAGTATCATATCAACATCTTTATCACATGTGGTAATACTTGTGAGGGGCTTAGTGGTGTAAGGGCGACTTGGCCCGCAACCAAGATGACATCAAAAATCGCTTGTGTTTCTGATTTAGTATCACATGTGTATCATATGTGATAGAATAATAGTATCATATGTGATTGTTTATAGTAAAATGGTGTTCTCACTTTCTCGCAAAATGAAGATGTTCTCGTTTAAACTGTTCCCTATATATATATATCTATACTATATATATAAGCATTTAAGACAAAGTCTTAATTACAACTCTTGAAGCCTAAAGTACTACCATTTTATGCAACAATTTCAAAAATCTCTTAATTACAAATTTTTATGCATAATGTACAAGCTTTTTATGCATCTGCATTCCAAAGACCAAAAATTACCTATGTTGGGCCGGTTTCTTCTTTAGGTTTCTTCCTCTTCTATCTCCTACCTCTGCTATCACCCAAGACCAAAACTTTTCTTCTCTTCTGTATCATTTCTCTGCACCAGCAACATTTTGGGTTAGAAAGCAGAGGTCTTTCTTCTTCACATACCTCGTTTGGCGTAACAATGTTGTTCTGGATGTATCACCTCGATCAGAGAACCGATTTCATGTATCAAAGGGATTTGCTCTCCTCTCCTCAGGCGATTTATAAATATCAGTCACTCTCTTCACACACGCTCCCATCGCCTCCCTCTTCAAAGCGACGATTCACAATTGATTTTCCAAGATGTTCGATTCAGGCTCTCGGTACGATTCACAATTGATTTCTGAATATGGTGAGTTCTAATCTTTCCCTCTTTAAATGTTCCAATTCTTACTTTAATTGTGATTAGGGTTTTGTTCAAATCATGTGAGATCCAAGGATCGGTTCTTTCATCAATGTTTGTTTGAAACTTCATTTGTTTAGCTCCCTGTTTGTTTATCCTGGTTAGCTTCCAGGCGAAACACCCCATATAAAGCGTTATTATTGCTTCGATTTTGGACTAATAGATGCAGACTTTGAACCGAGGTTGGGGGATTGTGGGTTGGGTAAGGTGATGTAGGGTTTTAATGGAAGGGCATTTGGGTATAATGCTCCTGAATGTATCCCAATATTCAGGTATTTCAAAGTGTGTTTGAATTTGATATAGTGTGATTTATGGGGATTTACAGGAAAGGAACAATAGGATCATATTGGGATTAAATCTCTTTTTATGATGGAACTTTAGACTAACAATTACATAGCTACAAGTTATCCTAATGAAAAAAGCTGTTAGACTATCTAGATCAGCAGGTTGGCCCTCTAATGGAACAGGTCGCTCCAACATGTATAAGAAGAGAACCATCCAAGCATTGAACACATTTGGATCAAACAATTTCCTTGGAATTTCCAGCTGCACAACATTCCACAACATTTTTTTGTAAATAGGACTTCCTTGCACTATAAGTGTATAAATTAATCCTACTGTTTTCGCAACTTAAAAGTTATTTAGTGACCCCATAGGATATTTCAATGCAGTAACTTACATAAATGGATGCAGTATATTTTGCAGATGACCTGAATAGATGACCCTTAGCTATTTCAAAACATGTAACATAGGTGCAGCCAATTGGTCGTTTTAGCTAGCTTATGGGTGGATGAAGTATAATTTCAACTAAAATGCAACTACCTAATAAAAAACTTGAGAGTTTAAAATAGACAGGGAAAAGCATTACAAAATCTAAAATTAGTATATCTTTTGAAGAACATAACAATTATTAGACCTCCGTACCAAAGGAAGAGCCAAAGGAAGAGCCCATATTTGACCTTTTAGTGCCAAATGGATTACTATCTAACTGAATTGACAAAAAGGGTACATCATTATGTAGAAGAATTTGATGACTACATTTAACTAAATAGAGAAAATTAAAAAGAAACACTTTTTGAGCTAAATCTAAGAAACCTATGTCAATGTTGAATTTGTTAAGCACTTGGTTTGAACCTCTACATCAGAAGTGACTCTCTTTCGCAGTACCAAAAAGTAAATTTTAATGGAAGTTACAAGCAAGTCAATGTTCTTGTCTAATAAGCATTATGTATTGAGATGAGCAACTCAATGTAATCTCATTTAACATGGGGGAAAAGAATTACTTTTGGCTCATCATGTTTATATTAAGTGTGATCATCAATTAAAAGAGTATGAGCTGATTTAAGTCTCTGTTTAGTTTGACTGGTTCTTATCTGTTTTTTAAGTAATTGCTTTTTTTGTTGGTAATTCTCCCATTTTGATCTTCTGATTAACTGTTGAATATAGGTTCAATGAATTTGGCAATGATGGTGGATCRGCAGCAAAAACCCTTGTGCCCAAGTTCAGTGTGTTCTCAAAGCATGTCACAGCACACACYGGGTTCCAAGTGCCAKAATTTGAGGCAARAATCRCTGCTTAGTTCTCAATAGGATTGAACCCGTGGTTATTACCACATACATCTAATTTTCATTATGGTGATATGACTTCTATAGATCAAAATTTTMGTTGCTGGAGCTATAGCCCTGAAGGGTATCRGAAGCCTCCTTTTCATCTTTGGCAGCACAATTGGTGCTTTTCTTCTGGTTAGTAACTCWTATGATTATAAGCATCRTTTTCTTCGATTGTTGGCTAAGGAGTAAACCGTTAAAGCTTTTGTTTTGTTTCAGATTCTGCACCAGCTGATTGCTACTCCCATCTTGTATGATTTCTACAACTATGACGTAGATAAGAAAGAATTCTCTCAACTTTTTATCAAATTTACACAGGTTAGAATGACACACACCCCCTCTTTGTTTTTGGTTGATTGTTTCATATAGTCAAATAACCAAACCAAACCAAACTAGCCCTCGTACAGATGGGTATATCCTACCGAGGTGGGGCCATGGGTACTATGTACGCAAACCTGATTTCTACTATAAAAAGTAGAGCGACTATGTAGAAGTTTAGTTAAAAATGGATTTTGTGGATTTTTGTAGAATCTGGCATTGTTGGGGGGACTCATGTTTTTCATTGGCATGAAGACCTCAATGCCAAGAAGACCATTAAACAAGAAGAAGGCATCCAAATCAAAAACAGTCTGAGTGATGGTGGTTTTGTTTGTACTTGATTTTCCATTTTCCCTTTTCTATTTGTTTATTTTGTCTTTTGCTTCAACACTTGCAATGCTGCATCTTCTTCTGTAATGTTTAGGAATCATATGGATTTTTGGTCTTTCTTTTCAGTGTATACAATTAATTCATATTTTGTTTGCTCTCAAAG